TAAAATTTCAGCCTGCTAAACTCCGTGGTTCCCGAGATATTAATTTACCCGTAAAAAACTTTCACAAGGCCATACGTGTTACCCACGGGTACGGGAAGGCTGAATTTAAATTTGCGGGGTCACACGTTGGTAGGGAACGTTCCCCTAAATTTTCAGCTTCCTAACTTTTGTGGTTCCCGAGTTGAAAGCTGCGGAGAGGTTGCTGCGGACGGACACACACACACAAACACACACAGACAACCCGTGACAATATGCGTTTTGTACTGCTGTTACACAGCACAAAACGCACAGTAATGTATTAGGCCGATTTTAAATCGAAAGTTTGGCTTATTATATCTCAAATAAAAAGCAATGCAATTGATCAAAATATGCACTCTTCTGGCTGGGCCCTTTTGCTAATTTATTGCTTTAAGGCACTGTGTAAGTTACTGCTTACTGAAATTCGTGACACCTGGGACTCGGGCCCTCCAGCGGCAGCAGAGCACAGTAGTCGATCGTCATCTGTATCGAATAGTCGCTCGGCCTCCAATGCTGATCTCTCGGACACCGGTTTGCTTTTGTTTTTTTGTTTTTTTTTTTTCATTTCATTCTTATGCCCTTTTTATGCGTTTTGTACTATGTAATAGCAGTACAAAACGCATATTTTCACGGGGTTGTCTGTGCTTGTTTGTGTGTGTCTGTGTCTGTGTCCCACGTTTTGTCCCGCACTTTGAACTCGGAAATCACAAAAGCTAGGCGGCTGAAGTTTTAGTGTAGTGTTCCCCGCCAACGGGTGACGCGGCAAGTTAAAATTCAGCCTTCCCGTACCCGCGGGCAACACGTACGCCTCGTAAAAGTTCTGCGGATAAAATCAGTATCTCGGGAACCACGGAAGGTAGAAGGCTGAAATTTTGTGAGCATTTCCCCGCCATATACTACCCAGAAAATTTAAATTAAGCTTTGCCTAACAATTACGGCCCCGTGAAAATTTTTGACGGGTAAATTATTATTTCGGGAACCACGAAGTCTAGGGAGCCAAAATTTTAGGGTAATGACCTTCTGCCCACTCTCAACCTTGCCCATTCAAATTCAGCGTTCCCGCGCTCTGGGGTATCAACTATGGGCTAGTCAAAGATTTTACGTGTAAATTATTATCTCGGGAACCATGGAGTATAGGAAGCTGAAATTTTAGAGTAATGACCGCCTGCCCACACTCAACCTTGCCCTTTCAAATTCAGCGTTCCTGCGCTCTCGGGTGTCACCTACGAGCTAGTGAATTTTTTTGCGGGAAAATTATTTGTCTCGGGAATCACGGAAAGATATTCACCTTTCAGTGTTTTGAATTCAGCTTTT